AGGGTTGGGGACCCTGTGTACCACAAAATTCACCTAAGAAAAGGAAAACTGGACCAAAGATGGGAACCATACTATAGAGTAATAGAGCAGATGGGTCCAGTGTCATATGTAATTTGGGATCAGATGACAGGTCGAACAAAGAGAACTCATGCCAATGATCTGTTAGCTGAGGTTAATTGGGAAATGAGTGAGCCAAAAGGCAAGAAGGAAAGGACAAGGAAAGAGACCTTGTAGAGCCAGAAGGGCTGGAAACGGATAAAGATTCAGAAGGAGAAGAAGATAAGGTCAGCAGCCGATAACAATGGACCATAGAGGTCTGGACAGGACGGTCTGCGTGTCAGAACAGGGTCCATCCGTGGCGGCCAGCGGAGTTTAGTCGTCGTCTGTTTCGTTGCAGAAAGGACATCACAATGTCACCGCCCCTCCCGAAGACCCAATAAAGGATGACGAAGAAAACTCGTGAAGAAGTCCAAGAATCGAAGTTGGAACTTCATGGACAAGAAAAAATCAAGTGAATGGGAAAGGAAGATGAAGTACCTCTCTCTAACTCCGAGAAAAAATGGAGAAATGAAAAAAGCTAGAGGCTCGTTCAACGGAGAATGAAGAAGGGCTCGGAATCGAAATTGCCCGAAGAAAAGGAAGAAGAAATACCTTTCTCCCAGGCCTCAAAACAGCTAAGGAATGAAAAAAAGTCAGGTGTGGAATCAGAATTACCCCCTTTAGAAGGGACTGAGGGAGGCTGGGAAACCTAAATCTCAATAAGAAGGGATGGTTGTGAACAGGGGGTCATTCGAGACCCTAACAGATGAATAAAAGTGGTTGAAGAGGATGGATGAGCGGATAAGCACGTCACAGTGGAAATAAAATCACTTGTCGGTGCTGCTGACCGGCCGGTGGTGGTATCGATGAGGCATGACCACTGGGACAAAAGCGCCGCTCACCTGTCTGAACCAATCATCCTACTAAAAGTTAATTAAAGGAAGAACAGGTATGGAATGGAAGGTGGAAGAGACAGCAAAAGAGAAAAGTAGTGAGAGCGCTTCGGAATAATTAAGTAAAGAAATAATTTGAATAATGAGTGGTTAGGGGAATAAAAACAAGAAAATCTTGTTACCCTTGCAGGAATGGCCAAAATAAAGGGACCAATTCTTCTGACGACGATGACGATGATGATGATGAAGATAGAAGCTTGGAGACACAGCGGAAGTACAATATTTAAGAAGACAAGTGAAGTGATAATCACAAGATCGAAATGAGTAGTCACTTTTGTGATTTAAACCCATACGAGTTGCTACTGAACAAACTGAGGAATGAGACAAGGAAGCTGGGAAATAGCAAGAGTAAAATTAGCACAGAATTATCCAGAAGAAGAAGAGTATCTCAGACTGTTATATTCTTTAGAATTGGAAAAAGTTGTAATGTCGGGGGTGGGGATGCATGGAAGGATATGAGGAATTACATGAAGGAAATTGAACTACTATAGGCGAGAGAAAAACAAGGGGTAGTTCCCATCATTGGGAAGGCGCTAAATGTTCTATTTGGAACAATAACTAAAGATGACGTTAAAGACATAAGAAAGAACCTAGGAAGGATAGAGAAAGATCAGAGAATCATGGCCCAGATGGCACGGGAGAGTGTTTCGATATTGAACGTTACAAGACTGGAATTAGCAAAGAATAGAGCCAGTATCAATGAGTCAAAAGGCAAACTGAGAGAACTAAAACAAGAAGTAGCCAATAGTTCAGAGCCTATGGCGACTGAATTGCAGTGTTTGAGTGACTTTGTTCAGCAGTATTTCCAGTTGATCACCATTACTAATAGGATGCGGCAGACTAGTCAATACTTGACAATTCTATTAGAGCATATGAGAGTTCAGATGGACACTTGTCCCCTAGCATAGTAACTCCAGCGCGTTTGAAGAGACTTTTGTTAAACTTAGAGAGCGAATGACCCCATACAATTTAGTATACCAGTAGATCCCGCCAGAAAACTATGGAAATATTATAATGCGCTAGGTTGTGTAACCTGGTTAAAAAATAACAAACTTTTAGTTTTGATGTCTATTCCTTTGTTGAATAGAGAAAGTATTTTTGAAATAAGTTATAAACTTGCCTATTCCCTACCATCGCGTGGATCAAGGTTTGGGAGTGGTGGCGAGATACAGAATTGAAACCGAATACATAGCCTTGAATCCAGCTAGGACGAAGTTTATGATACTGTCGGCGGACGAGGCGGGAAGGTGTAAGAACGATGCCTTGGGAACGTGTACCTCACTAAGTCCTATTTATGTGACAGGTAATCACAGAATATGTGCACTGGAGTTGTTTGAAAATAAAAGGGAAGGAGTTAAGAGGAATTGTCAAGTAGACAACAAAAAAAAAAACTAAAAAAACAATGCTACCACAGGCTATCAGTGTATCCGATGGTGTGTGGGCTGTGGCAGTACAGAAATCAATTAGACTGTCTAAGGTATGTAGAGGGGAATCCACTGGGACAATAAAAATGAGGCCGCCACTATCCATAGTAAATTTGCCCCTGGGATGCTCAGCATTTGGTGTATCCGTCTCCCTGCCTCCATATTACCAGAGGGAAGAAAAATATGAGGAAAAGAATTCAGTTGTAGAATTGATTAACAGAAGTTTGGACAATTATACGGAAGTGTGGAACCCAATAATAAATAAATTCCCTAACATTACGTTAAAGCAGATGCTAGTATTATTGGAACCTGTAGAGAGGATAAATATGAATTGGCTAAAAGACCAACTAAAGATGTTGGGAGAAGGAAGTATGGATTGGGAGGATAGTAAGAAAATTATAATAAATTGGTCAGCGTTGATAGGTACTTTGATACTTGTTGTTGTAATAGTAGCAACAATATGGAAATTTAATAGATATAGAAGGAGGTCGGTTGATGGTACTCTGGTAAGTGTGCAACAGCTCGGAAGGGAGTTGCCTGACAGTGTTCAGTGTCCAACCAGATCAACCCGAGATGAAGAATTTGCGTTGAGTTTGACGAACGAAATAGAGGTACAGTCAACGCCTGTTGAAAACAAACCAACCCCCCCCTGTTCTACAGAAAAGAATAATGACCAAGAAAAACAAGGCATAAAATAAAAAATAAATAAATAAAACACACACACAAACATACATACACATACTCACTTTTTTAAAAATTGCAGGTATACACAGAAAAAGGAAAAGAGAATTTTCAAATTGCATGTGAAAATTTTATAGTGCATGAAAACGGTGCATGAGAAATAGTGCATGAAAAGTAGTGCATGTTAAATAGTGTATTGGGGTTTGAAATATCATTTACCCGTAAATGACAGGATGGGTGAAAGAAAAGATGTAACAATATTTAATATGCTATACGGATGGAAAAGGTTTAAAAAACGATTTTATTGTTTTTTTTATCAGAAAGGGACTCATTTTCCCATGGATTGGGAACAGGTGTACGAATTCTTTGGAAAAAATATATAAAATACGATTGTCGCTGTTCGGCGAGACACAGCGAAGAGGGTTCAGAGGCCAGAGGTTAAAGTCGTTTGTTGAATGGTGTCCAATGTCTACGCAATTGAAAAATTATCATCCAAATTTTTTCTGAGAAAAAAAATTATAATTGTGAAGACAGAATGAGCAATTGTAAAGGGAAGACGTCAGGAAGACTGACGTCATATAAATAGATCCTCTCGAAGGAGGAGGGATCTTCCAAAATTGAAAGTTTGAAAAAAGAACAAAAAGAAGGAGACTGGTTGAATTTTAGAATATTTGCATAAAGCCCCCCTTATGCGTCTTCACCATACCAGTTGGAAGGGACACCCATAAATACAAATGCCCACGGGGCTAAATTAGTTGGAGTTGAGAGTTGGAGTTGGAGTTTCAGTCCGGAGTTGCAGAAGCCGAGTTACGCGGATGGGGATTTTTTTTTGTCATTACACTGTTTTGCCAAATTAATAATAATAATAATAATTATCCGCTGAAGAAAAAAACTGCTGTTCAACGATATCCTTGTGACGTCCTTGAAAGTACAAGCCTTGTGCCGTTCTTTGAAGAAATCCAGTTGTCTTGTCAAGTCTGGCCATCCTTAGAAGAAAAAAAAGAACTGTAAATATTTTCTTTTATTTTGATAAACACCATACGACTTAAGGCGTCGTCTATTTTATTTTTTCAATTTTTGTGCGCGTATTCAACTCGTTGGTTTATCGTTCCATAAGATGCCAAATATTAGGAAACGGGTTGGTTAAAACGAAGTGTGGGCTGACGGCTTGTTCTTCGATAAGGATCGGACCTCACCAAAAGCAAAAAAAAAGAACTGTTCAAAAGTATACGATTTTTTTATTTTGATATAAATAGGCGGAGACGTTCATCAATGATTCCCATGACAGCGTGACCTCAAATATCATTTGACATTATTATTTCATGATTAAAATAATCAAAGTATATTCGAATATACTTTCATTCAAATTTTTAATTTTTGCCTTTCAGGCGTATTCATGTTCAATGATGAAATTTTTTCGTAAATATATCCCCAAAATGAGTTAATTATTATTTTCATTTTTTCGTCATTTTAGACGAAAAATTTATCCATCGCGTGGTATAAATGGATGAGTTTGGAATTACAAGTATGAATTGGTTATTTACTATTTATTTGTATGTATTTCTAGAGCAATGATTTCTATCGGAGGGGCATGGTAATATTTTGGTGGGGGCATGCGTAGGATATTTGAGACCTGGGTATTATAAACCTATTGTCTCAGCAATATTTTTTTACCACAGCTCATATTGCAATTTTTGTTGTTATTATCGCTTTTCTCTGGCACTCCTTATTACTAGTTCCCATATTGTATTCAAGACGTTGTAATAAATATGGCGACAAAGATGAAGACAATAGTCCGAATAATGAGCATAATAACTCATCTCAGAAATATAGACAGATACTGAAGGTATAAGTCAGTCTCTTGTTTCTGCCTTCATCCTCAAAATTATCAATTAACCTCGAAATGCTCTTCCTCTTTGAGACCTTCCACTTTGAGACCATTCACTTTGAGACCTCCCATTTTGAGACATTCCATTTTGAGACGTTCCACTTTAAGAGCTCCGACTTTCAGACATTCAATTTTGAGACCTACGATTTTGAGACCATTCACTTTGAGAACTTCCCCATTGAGACCTTCCCCTTTGAGACCATCCACTTTGAGAACATCCATTTTGAGTCCTTCCATTTTGACAACTTCCTCTTTGGGATCTTCCCCTCTGAGACCATCCACTTTGAGACCATTCACTTTGAGACCTCCCACATTGAGACCTCCCACTTTGAGACCTTCCATTTTGAGAACTTCGATTTTGATACCTTCCATTTTGAGTCCTTCCATTTTGAGACCTTCCACTTTGAGACATTCCATTTTGAGACCATCCACTTTGAAGCCATGAACTTTGAGTCCTTCTATTTTGAGACCTTTCCCTTTCAGACCATCCGCTTTGAGACATTCCCCTTTGAGACCATCCACTTTGAGACCATTCACTTTGAGACTTTCCGATTTGATATCTTCCACTTTGAGACCATCCACTTTCAGTCCTTCCATTTTGAGACCTTCCCCTTTGCGACCTTCCCCTTTGAGACCATCCACTTTGAGATTTTCCACTTTCTGTCCTTCCATTTTGAGACCTTCCCCTTTGAGTCCATCCACTTTGAGAACTTCCACTTTGAGACCATCCATTTTGAGACATTCCCCTTTCAGACCATCCACTTTGAGACCATACACTTTGAGACATTCCACTTTGAGAGCATCCACTTTGAGACCATTCATTTTGAGACCTTCCACTTTGAGTCCATCCACTTTGAGACCATCCACTTTGAGACCATTCATTTTGAGACCTTCCTCTTTGAGACCTTCCCTTTTGAGACTATCCACTTTGAGACCATCCACTTTGAGTCCTTCCATTTTAATACCTTTCCCTTTGATACCATACGCTTTGAGACCTTCCGCTTTGAGATCTTCCACTTTGAGACCATCCACTTTCAGTCCTTCCATTTTGAGACCTTCCCCTTTGAGTCCATCCACTTTGAGAACTTCCACTTTGAGACCATCCATTTTGAGACCTTCCCCTTTCAGACCATCCACTTTGAGACCATACACTTTGAGACATTCCCATTTGAGACCTTCCAGTTTGAGAGCATCCACTTTGAGCATTCATTTTGAGACCATTCACTTTGAGACCTTCCTCTTTGAGACCTTCCCCTTTGAGACTATCCACTTTGAGACCATCCACTTTGAGTCCTTCCATTTTAAGACCTTTCCCTTTGAACATACTTTGAGACCGTGTATTGAGATCTTTTTGAGACCATCCACTTTGAACTTTCACTGCATGATTTCCACTTTGTGTCCTCCCATTTTGAGACCTTTCCCATTGAGATCTTCCACTTTGAGATCTTCCACTTTGAGACCTTCCTCTTTGAGACATTCACTTTAGAAATCTCCCACTTTGAGATCTTTCCATTTGATACCATCAACTTTGAGACCATTCACTGTGAGTCCTTCCGCTTTGAGACCATCCAATTTGAAAACTTCCCCTTTGAGACCATCCACTTTGAGCCTTCCATTTTGAGACCTTTCCCTTTGAGTCCATCCACTTTGAGACCTTCCCCTTTGAGACTTTCCCCTTTCAGAGCTTCCATTTGAGACCATTCACTTTTAAATCATCCACTTTGAGCCTGATTTGAGATGCTTTGGACCATCTTTTGAGACCATTCATTTTGAGAAAGAAAAGAAATCCAGGAAAATTGCACGGCCGGCATCCATCCACTTTGAGACCATATTTGAGAATTCCCTTTCAGACCATTTGAGAATCAAAACATTTTTGAGACCATCCACTTTGAGACCATCCTTTGAGATATGAGACCATCCACTTTGAGATAAATTTTGAGAAGTTGACACCATCAACTTTGAGACCATCCCCTTTGAGAACTTCCCCTTTGAAACCACCCCCTTTGTGACTATTGTGGCGTAGCCCTGATTTCATTAACCACCTAGACGTTAGGCTAAAAAGCACCCCAAAGTAAAATCTTAAATTCTAGTCGAAAATTAGTTAGATATAAAAGAAAAATAAATAAATAAATAAATAAAAATAGAAATTCAACCAATGATTTCGACCGAATATGTTCCATGGTACCCTCCTCTTCTCTTCATAAATTCTTTCCCTCCATTCCACCCACAAGCCAAGGGCCGTGAACTTTTAAAGTGACCTGACGCGAGAATGACCTGGTTCCAAAATTTCGCAGCTATCAGGCGGCTGACCATAAGTGAATTCCAGTCACCATCAGGTCTCCTGCTGCGATTCACGTCAGACCATACTCAGCGTGTATTGAATTTTTGGCCATCACACTGGCACTGGTGATTTGCGCCCCATCCTCCTGCATACCCAGTGAAGGACGAAGGGAACCCACGTGACTGTCTTTGGGGACAGCAAAAAATAAAAAAGGATTTTCAGTTTCCCTCTGACCAGCGACAGTGGAACGCCGCTGAGCAAATCGTCAGAACTTTGAGATGAAGAAGGCAGCAAAGTCTGTCGACTCACTGAAAAAGTGAAACTGAATCAAAATAACGAAACGCCTGTACGAGATGCTTGGACCATCGAACATTTTTGAAAAGAAAAAAATCCAGGAAAATTGCCGTTCGGCCAAAATATTGTTTTAGCATCAGAACTCCACGTCGGCAAATCAGAACATTGTGTGAAAATATCAACTCGACTGAAAGATAAGTTGATTCTCTTGGTTTGATCTCTTTTTTATATATGTATGTCGCGCCTTCTATTCTTTAATGATCTCCTTCCCCTTTGTTAAATGAATGTTTTTTTTTTTTCTCTTTATTTCTTTATATATATTTATAAATAAATGTTATATTTTGAAATTCATGGTCTTGTGTCTGTTCTTCGTTGATTCCCTTGTGTCGCCTCCATTTCTGAGTGAAGACCGAGAAAAGATCCCACGTTTTCCTTTTTTTTAAACCCGTGGTTCATCTATATGCTACAAGTTCGTAACATATAAAATTGGGAGCTCGTTCCGAGAATCTTTTCTCTCTGTTTTTTTCACTCAGTAAGAATCGCACAGCTTCAAGTTTTCCGCGAATTACAGGCCAAGATGTCGGTTATAGTTTGCTTTCTAGCATCACCCTTTATGGACAGATTATGTAAGCTTAAGAAAGATGATATAGTTGAAATAGGGAAGGAATTAGAACTAGAGGTAACGAAAGCTATGAGAAAAAATCAGCTAGTTAGGATAGTCTCTGAACATATGGTAGATAACGACGTTTTCGACGTAGAAGATTTACGTCAAGTATCACTCGATGCGTCAGAACTTTCGCAGGCCCAACTCGATCTCGAGAAAGCGAAGATTGAGGCCGAGCCTAAGTTCAGAGCCGAAGCCGAAAGAGCCAAAGGCTGAGATCGCAAAAGCTAGAATCGAACAAGAAACTCGATTTCGGGAGTTAGACGAAAAGCGGGAACTTCACGAAGCTAAAAGTAGTGAGTTCGACTTAGCGAAGCAGGTCCGACTCGTACCGCGATTTAACGAGTCTGACATCGACAAGTATTTTCAGCATTTCGAAAAGGTCGCCTCAAACCTAGCATGGCCCATAGAAACGTGGCCAATTTTACTGCAGACCGCATTAAAAGGCAAAGCCCAAGAAGCGTATGCCGCGCTGAATATAGCATTGTTAAATCAGCCATTTTAAAGTCGTATGAGCTAGTGCGGGAGGCATAACAGCAAAAATTTATAGCCTGCCGAAAGGCAGAGAGACAAACGTATATAGAATTTTCGAGACAGAAAGAAACCTATTTCGATAGATAGAGATTATCGAAAAACATCGAGGCCGATCATGACAGGCTAAGGCAAATGATCCTGATAAAGGAGTTTAAAGAATGTGTCCCTGATAATTTAAAAACCTACCTCGATGAAAAAAGGGTAGATACTTTATATGAGATGGCCACCCTCGCTGACGAATACGCGTTAACACATAAGCGGTGTACATTCAATCATAGCAACCCATCCGAGTTTGGAAGCGGTCCACACCCAAGACGTGGGTCTGGTTCTGGTCCGAATTCGAAGTTTGGTCGATCGGTTAGTTCAGGCCAACCACCCAGTCCGAGAGATACCAAATCTCAAAATCCCAGTTCTCATTCACCGGTTTATCGGCGGACGAATAGGAGAGAGAGGAAACTCCCGATGTGCCACTACTGCAATAAAGTAGGACACCTCGTGTCGAATTGTTGGACGAAGCGGAATGCCGAGTCCAGAGCCCTAAGTCAAGACAGACCCCAAGGGCTAATTTCTTCCGACAGCGTTACCATGAATAGGAAACCCAATGACGAAGATGTGAGGGAGGAGTATAGGCCATTTGTTTCTAATGGTGATGTATCCCCCGTGGATAACCCCACGAAGAAGAAATCCGTGAAGATCTTGCGGGACACTGGGGCGACTCAGTCCCTGATTGTGGAGAGCTTCCTGCCGTGTGGATCGAATTCGGACACTGGCGAATTTGTTATTATACAGGGTGTTAGCGGCGGCTTTGTTAGCGTCCCCTTCATCGAATCCACCTTACGTCTGGGTTAGTGTCTGGCCCTGTCGAGGTCGGAATAGTTCCTAGTTTGCCTATGAAAGGCATATCCATGCTGTTAGGAAATGAAATTGGTGGAAGGGTGTTACCCCACCCTAAAGTAGTTGCGGAACCGGTTGCTTCGATAGACACTGAAGATATCGAGGAAGAGAATTCCGATACATTTCCCTCGTGTGCAGTGACCAGAGCACAGGCCAGAAAGAAGGCTGATGAAAAGACAAACGAGAAAATCGATAGGACAGAGGACGAAGTGATAGACCTATCGCAAACATTTATAAATCCTGATATGGGATTAAATTATCCACCCGATAGTCCCCTAACTGGAAATAGCGATGGTATTGTTGAGCCCGCTATGAACATTCCATTATCGAAGAGAGCACTTGTAACGGAGCAGGGGAGTGATTCTGAGCTCACCCCACTCTTCCGTCACGTATTGCCCGAGGATGAGTTGGAGAAAGTTCCAACCGGATACTTTATTAAGAATGAGGTACGAATGAGGAAGTGGAGACCCCCACACATCTCAGCCTCAGAAGACTGGTCGAAAGTCCACCAAATAGTACTCCCTAAACGAGACAGACCGGACGTAATGAGCACGGATGATGAGATCCCCCTTGGGAGTCACCTTCACAATACACACAATAAGATCATCAAACATTTTTATTGGCCGGGGATCCGGACAGATATGTCTGAATCCTGTCGGACTCGCCACGCTTGTCAGGCGGTAGGAAGCCCGCGAAAACTCTTGTCAGTTTGTTTGCCATGATTGGCTTACACAAGGTGCCTAATTTCATGTCAGAATTATTCATGAAAATTCTAAGTATACAGTCCCTTCAGTCCAATGCCTACTATCCACAATTCCAAGAAGCATTGGAAGTTTTTCATTCCACCCTTAAGAATATGATGCGAACATATTGCCTGGACCATCAATACGATTGGGACGTAGGTACCGCATTCTTACTGTTCGCTACCCTAGAGTCTATCCATAAGTCTAGAGACTTTAGCCTTTTTGTACTAATATTTGGACATTCAGTCCGCGGTCCATTACAGGTATTAAAGAAGGACTGGTTACAGGAAGATCCAGCTTCGGGGAGTCTTTTAGGTTATGTTTCCCGTTTCCGAACACGATTAATGTGTCCATCTAACATGGCTCGGTTTCATGATCCATTTGAAAGGACCCGAAATATGAAATTCGTCGTGAAAACTCCTGACCATAGTAAACAGAAGCGAATATGCCACGTCGATAGAATCAAACCTTATTACGAACGGGGAAAAAACAACCCTGTAGTGATGATCAGTGGAGGTATTCCTGCAACTGAGTCCACGGAGGTCCGAGGATGAGTAACTGAAGGAAGCGAAAAAATCCTCTTTTCTTTTTAGAAAAATGCCATTGATGGCATTTTTCTTCTTTTTGGTAGGGAGGTGTGACGCAGCCCGATTTTATTAACCACCTAGACGTTAGGCTAAAAAGCACCCCAAAGTAAAATCTTAAATTCTAGTCGAAAATTAGTTAGATATAAAAGAAAAATAAATAAATAAATAAAAATAGAAATTCAATCCAATGATTTCGACTTGCGAGCGAATATGTTCCA